CTAAATGGAAAAAGGCCTAAAATGTAGCAGTCATTTAAATATTAAAATATTTCAAGACAATGTAAGAAGCTGTTTGTATAACATTGGCACTGAGAAAAATTGTTCCACACTGGAAACTCAGAAGATTTAAAGAAAAATGATACATTTCCAACATTAAATTCTTCCAAATTTTCTACAAAGCATAAGTTTTCATATGTCAAGACTTTTTGACTTTGAATCTTGTGACACTGCCCAAATTATAAATTAAAACTAGGAATTTTAAGATTTCTTAGGATTTTTTGTGCATATGATTTTTACAAATTTTTGTGAAATTTTTTCACATTTTTGTTCCCACACTTTATTCCTGGATGTCTTTCTTTTATCCTTCCTGCATTGGCTTCCAGAATGATAATAAGGCAAGACATCCTTGCCTTGTTCCCCGTCTTAGGTGAGAAGCAATCAGCGTTTTATTACTAATCTACCATCTGTGAAGAACGTAGAGCTGTTGCATTTGTCAGGATGAAGAAAGTTCTATCTCCTCTATTTTGCCAAAAGGTTTTTTTTTTTTATTTTTTATCATGGATGAGTTTCAAGTTTGTCAATCTTTTTCTGAATTTATTGAAATTATTACGTATTTTTTACTTGTTCAGCTAATGGAGTGAATTACATTAATCAATTTTGAAACATTGAACAAACTACATTCCTAGGATAAACTATACTTGGTCAGGATGTATTGCATCTGTTATATGTGTCTGTATTTGACTTGTTGATGTTTTATAGAGGATTTTTTTCATGTCTATGTTCATGAGAAATACTTGCGATAAAATGTAATTATTTTTATGAAATCTTTTGGTACCAGAGTTATGCTTACCTCCAAAGTGAGTCAGAAAATTTCTTCTCAAGTTATTTTCTGAAAGATTTTTAAAAATATTTATTTATTTATTTATTAAGTAAATGAAAGAATTCAATGTGAAATCATCTGGATTTAACTTTGCTCTGTGTGAAGTTTTAAATTTATGAATGCAAATTTATTTCACAGCTAGAGGAATATTCTTGCTAGTTCTTCTCATCAGTTTTGGTGAATGGAATTTTTCAAGAGATTTACCCATTTCATTTAAGCATTTCATTTGTAGTCCTAAAGTTGTTCATTATAGTCTTATATTGTGTTACTTTTAATGTGTGTAGACTCTATTGATATCACCTTTTTAATTCTAATAAAAATGATTTGTATTTACATTATCTTGCTAGGGTAAAATTGATTTTTGCCCTTTATAGATATTTTTGTTCTATTTACATTGGATTTAATTTAATGTACTTGTCTTTTCCTAGATTCTGTTTTTTTTTTTTTTTTTGGTTGTACTGGAGTTTAAACTTTGGGCCTCACACTTGCTAGGCAGGTACTCTACCACTTAAGCCACCCCAGCAGCCCTTCCTAGATTCTTAAGTTAAAAATTAAGATCGCTGATACTAAAACTTTCTTCGTAATATAGACATTTAAGTTATATATTTTCCTCAAAGTATCACTTTAGCTGCAGCTCACAAATTTTAATATAGAGTGTTTTCCTTATCATTAACTTTGAAATATTGTCTAATTTATTTTGTGATTTCTTCAACCCATGATATTTAACAGGCTATTATTTAAATTTCAAATATTTGGTAATCTCAGAGATGTCGTACTGTTATTAATTCTGACATAATTTTTGTAATTTAAAAATTTGTTGAGGCCTATTTTGTGGCTCACTGTATACGGCCTGACTTGGTGATTGTCTTATGTCCATTTGAAAAGAATCCAGGTCTTAGATGGAGTATACTGTGATTTTGAGTATACTTGATTTTGTCATTGACTTTGTAAATTGGTTTTGTGCCAGTGGACAGGTAAATTGTGGTCTGATCTCTTTTTTTTTTTTTTTTCATTATTTAGAGAATACTTTATTAGTTTCTGTAATCAAACCCACGTAGATAAGACCTTACATATTTAATACAGTGCGTTACCCCTGTACAAATGGAAAAAAAAAATTAAGTTTAACGTTTCTAGACCAATATGGCTATTAATTTCTGTACAATGCCAACTCAACACAGTAAATCGGGATACTTTTTTCCAAAGTTGACAGCACAGCTAAAGTTTCCAAAAATTCAAATTATATATATATGTATATATATATATATTTATATTTATATAAAAAGACCAATAATAGCAGTATGTTATGCATCAATAGCAGCAACAGCTTTTCCAGGTTCTGCAGTCATCTGAACAAAATTATAGAGACATCTAGCACACTCCATTAAAACAACAAAAAAACCAAACCAAACCAAACCAAAACAACAACAAAAAAAGTGAAAAAGTAAAAAAAACAAAACTCCAGAAAACAGCAATTTTCTGTTACTGTTGTGGTACCTGGCATCATTTTTTTTATTAGCTTCTCAATCATCATTTAGAAAGAAAACATTCTAGAGTAACATCATTAAAAACAGCTCTGATAAAGCATGGTCTGATCTCTTTATAGATTTGTGTAGATTTGGTTCATGCTTTGTTGGGATGGATCTGTGGGAGCCTGTAACATTCCCAGGAACTTCTCATTTGGTAAGACTTATTAGCCATCCAGCTGTCCTGTGAGGTTTGTCAGAGCTTGGTTTTAGACTTGGCTAGGGTTGTTCAGAACAGGTCTTATTCCAAAGGCTTCACTTACTCCTGTTGCACAGTTTGTGATGTGTCAGCTGGGAACCTGGGTGCTAATAGATGTACTCTGGTGGACAGGATCTTCATCATCCGTTCCCTAGCACTTCACTAAGTATGTCTCATCCACACTCAACCCTATGCAGCCACCCTGTGAAGTCTGTTAATCATTTCCTTTGGCAGGTGCAGCCCAGTCCTTGATAAAGTAGGGACATGGACCCTGCATGTTCTTCCAGGCCATCCCTTTGCCTAGTTGGCTCTTCTCTGGGACCTGGAATCCAGGTGTTTCAGTGGATCTGAGCTCAGATCTCTGCTTTCTCTGAGAAGTGAGACTGCCACGCTCGACTTTGAACTCTAGCTCACTGTGCTGCTGCAGAGAAACCGTCCCTGGGCAAAGAACTAGGGCAACCAGGGGTCTTCCCTCATAAGCCTCCTGTCTCTCAACAGTTTTAAGTCTTCTACTGAGCTGTCCATCATCTGAAAATAATATTATGGCTGTTACAGAGGGAGGGATTATGTTTACGGATTAGGGTCTAATATCACTTATTGTGATAAATGGTAGAATGTAAGAAGCAGAAGTCTGTCACACTCTCATACTCTTTTGTTTCCTATGTTTTTGTAATATCATGGTAGACAGAATCCTAAAATGATCACTAATGGTCCTCGTTCTAAATACTCTCCTTCTCTATCTTGTAAGCACTTTTGTAAATGTCACAGTGTACCCCCAGTACAACAATAATATAATAAAATTTTTTTAGAAAAGTAAAGAGATTTGTAAAAATAGAAATAAAAAAATACTCTTCTTTTGTGTGTGGGCAGAACCAAAAATGCGATATCACTCCTCTGATTATCTGATAGCAAAAAGGAATTCCATGGAGGTGATGAAGATCCCAAATCAACAGAATTTAGAACAGATTATCTTTCATGAACTTGCCCTAGTGAAGGTGACCTCTTAAGAAGGACTGAACTCAGTCAGGTGCCTATAGCTCATACCTGTAATCCTAGCTACTTGGAAGGCTGAGATTAGGAGAATCCCCAGTTCAAAACCAACCGGGGGAAAAAGGTCATGAGACCCTATCTCAACCAATATGTTGTCATGGTGGTACACACTTGCCATCCCAGTGACAACAGGAAGCATAAACTAGGAGGATTATATTCCAGGCTGACCTGGGCAAAAAGCAAGAGCCTATCCAAAATAACCAGACGTAAAAATAAAAAAGGAGGGGGGGAGAGCAGTGTGTGATGGTGTGGTTCAAGCGGTATACTGCCTTCCTAGTAAGCACAAAGCCCTAAGTTTAAATCTCAGTATTGCCAAAGACAAGAAAAAAGAAAGAAAGAAAAATGGAGAACTGGACTCTGAAGCACCAGAGGCTCTCCATGCCAGGGAGAGACTCCTTTGCTGGATATAGTGGGGATGTAGCCCAGCACATGGGAGGCTTTCAGAAGTGCCTGACTTACAGACAAGACAATGGAGATCTCAGTCCCACAGTCACAAGGAACTGAACTCAGCTGATAATGTGAGTGAACTTGGGGGTGAATTTTTCCCCAGAGTCTCCATAAAGGAACACAGCCTACATGACAACCTGATTTCAGCCCGTGACACCCTGAGCAGAGGACCCAGCTAATCCTTGCCAGAACAGTGACCTATGGGAACTGTGAGATGCCAAAGGGGAGTTCTTTGTTACACAGTGACAAAAAACTAATACAAATAGGGAAAGGAGGTGACTTTGGAGTGTTGATAAGCTGGAGAAATCAGGAAAAGTATCCTCCTGCAGAATGACCAAATGGAACTGAGTCTATTATCTCCTCATCTAATCAATTATGATCTATTAAGGCACATGGCTATGCACCAGGATGGTTTGTGGAAGAAGCAATTGCTTTAGAGTAGGCAAGAATACCCTACTATATCACACTGCAGGATTCAATAACAGACAGACACTCGTGGAGTGTCTTTTGTATATTGTGCAGAAGCAAACAGACTGTGGAGAAAGAAAAGCTCATGATTCATCCTAGGTGATCCGTTGGGAGGAATTGCTCAGAGTTGAATATCAGGAGTTCCTGAATTCAGAGCATGGCAGCTGAGGCTGTCGGCCAGTTTGACTTTCTGCAGCTGGAGATGCCAGTGGTGTGTTGTCATGGCAACCACAGGTTCCCCAATATTAGCACCACTAGAAGTCAGACCCTTAAAAGCACCAGATCTGGGCATTTCCCTTTCCTCAGTCACCCCAGTAAATGGCTTTAAGTCCCTCTAGAAAAGACCTGGCTGAAGATTTGCAGTGCACGAATCTTTTGGCAGTGTCCTGGGGCTCATTTGTCCTCAGAGGAGTGCAGTCTTTTCTCAGCCGAGATGTTCCAGGTCTGTGAACTGAAGGAGCAGCCAATTCCCACTGTGATGATTCAATCAGACCTCTGTTCTCAGAACGAGGGTCTTCCCAGTGACGGTATGAATCAGTGTCTTAGTGGGGTCCCCACTGATTTCATTCCTGTGACCCTGCAGTGAGTAGTCACTATCACACAGCCCTACCTCTCAAGGTAGTTACTCCCACCTAGTGCTTTCTCCTCCTCCAGAATCCCATTCTGACTCAGGGAAGGCAAGTACGTGGTAGCACCTCCCAACATTACCTCCAGACTATAGAGGGCAGGCACTGTAGGGAATCTTCATGGAGGCCACTGTTCCCTCAGCCATGCATCTTTACCTTCCAGCTCTTCCTACATGGGAGCCAAAGAAACAAAGAGAGAAACTGTGCAATAATCTCTGAGGGACCGTGAGCACAGCTACTGGGCCAACCCCTGATTAGGTTCCACCAGTTCCCTTGCGAGAGGAGGAAGAAGGTACTAGGTCACCTCCACGTTCTCCTCTTGCTCAGTCTTTAATTGTAGCTCCTTTCTCATTTGCTTTTGGAAGCACATATTGTAACACAGCAAGGTGAACCTTTGTCTACCACTTCTAGGCATTCCTAGGGCTATTTCAGATAAGGCACTTGCATTGCTATACTCACAAACATTGAGCCAATGCTAAGACCATCTGTTTCCTGGCCAGATGTTTGTTCATTTGGTATGTACATAAAAGGAGGAGATAGACCTCAAGCTTGCGTATTATAAAGTATGTCATCTTTCAAAGGACACAAAAGCAAGACTTTGTAATAATGCCATAAGACGTATTAACTTTAAGCTTAATTCAATAAATTCTTATCTAAAAGAAGTTTCTGAGCTGGGTGTGGAAGAGCATGCTTATAGTCCTCAGGACTCAGGAGACTGAGGCAGGAGAATCACTTGAGTCCAAGAGTTCAAGACCAGCCTGGGCAACACAGTGAGACTCCCATATCAAGAAAAGAAGAAAGAAAGAAAGACGGAAAGAGAGAGAGAAAGAAAGGAAAGAAGGAAGGAAAGAAGAGAAAGAAAGAAAAGAAGGAAGGAAGAGAAAGAGAGAAAGAAACAAAAATAAAAGAATGTACAGGAATTGTTGAATGATAAAATCTAGGTGAGAGATAAATAGGTAAAATGATCCTAGTCATAATGAGTGACTTCAAGCCTATGGAGACACCACAAAGAAGAAAATTGCCACCCACATCCATTCATACCGCACTAAGGACTGACCATGTTCCTTTGAACAATGGCTTCTCTTATTAGTAAAACCATCTTGGTAATCAACTGGAAAAGGAGCTGCCTAAGCTGGTTGAGGAGGTACCAGCTACATGTCCAGGGAGACCCCCGCTGGGCTTGGCCTCCATGCACCAGGATGGAACTGAGATCACCATTGGGTATTGCTTCTCTTCTCAGGGGAACAGCACAAATCACATCTAGTTTCTACATGGAATTGCTCCATATATTCTGCCACCTGAGATGATGGCTCTGGGCTGCTTTCAACCTGGTCTTCTTGAGGAAGACTTGGATTTGTCTCTATAGATATGTTGACCAGTGTTTCTCCAAATGACTAAAAGGTACTGGAGGTGAGAGGGCCACAAGGGGGATTCTAGACAAACTAGTTCGTAAACTCACTGATCCTCAACACCCTACTATATTCAGTAAACACACATCGAGCTCTTACTTCATGTCACACACTGTTAGGTGTCTTAACAGAGCAATGAGCTTCTATTGTCACTCAACTCATAATGCCAGCATTTTTGTACGCCATAGTTGGTCCTAACTGCCACATTCTCACACAGGAAGTTCCTAGGATTTCACTTTCTGGATTTTCTAAGGTGGATTGCTAATGTAAGACATGGAAAAATTAATGAGCACTGGGACTCACCGGCAAAAGTCCATCCTCCTGAAGCTTCAGATAGTGGAATCCCCCGTGGCTCGGCTCACTTGAAATCATGTACACAAAACCTACTTTTCAGTACACAGGACTGCTTCATGTGACCTCTCATTGCTTACCATGGTGTGGAGTCCCTGGAAACAGCCCTGGCCTCTCCTTCTCTATTATCAGGACAGGGCCTCATGTCTTCTGCAGCCAGAAATCAGAGAACATTCACTTGTTGACTTTTTCTAATTTTTTTTTAGTTTTATGTTATTGTTGTAAGAGGGTTACATTATAACATTTACAAAAGTTCTTACACTAAATCGAAGTTGAAATCACCCAACTTTTTCTAATTTTTAGTAACATTTGAAAGCATAGAAAAGAAAATGCTACAAAATAAACTGCTAATATTCACATCCTATTTTAAAAGAAATTTATGCAAGAGATAAGACATCTTTTGAGAACATTTAAGGATGTGAATAACTTCTGAAGGTAAATGATAACAATTTCTTATGCTTCTTGTTTTTCATAAAGGAGGTAGAAAATGGAACAAACAGTGCTTCCTTAGGGGAAGGGTTTGCTCCTAAGTAAGGGAGGTTGGAGGTAGAGGCTGACAGTTTGCCCTGGGCCTTGGTTTAACCACAGCTGTGCTTTCATACATAATCTCCCAGGAAAAGTCAAAATGTCCTTGTTCCACTTAAACTAAGTGCTTTTCCTGGACTCTTGGCGTGTGTGACATTCTACTTCTTATTCCCAGCTTGTGTGGTCACAACAAGAACTGAGGTGCTTCAGAAAGTGTCTACTTTTAAAAAAATCTGATAACTCGGAGCTGAAACTCTGAAGTTAGTACATGAAAGAGCAGGGAATACTCTGGAAGCAGTAGGTATAGGCAATGACTTCCTCAGTAGAACCCCAGCAGCCCAGCAACTAAGAGAAAGGATGGACAAATGGGACTTCATAAAATTAAAAAGTTTCTGCACAACGAAAGAAATGGTCTCTAAACTGAAGAGACCACCCACAGAGTGGGAGAAAATATTTGTCAGCTACATATCAGACAAGGGACTGATAACCAGAATATACAGGGAGCTCAAAAAACTAAACTCCCCTAAAACCAATGAACCAATAAAGAAATGGGCAACTGAACTAAACAGAACGTTTTCAAAGGAAGAAGTCCAAATGGCCAAAAAACACATGAAGAAATGCTCACCATCCCTGGCCATAAAGGAAATGCAAATCAAAACTACACTAAGATTCCACCTCACTCCTGTTAGAATAGCTATTATAAAAAATACCACCAACAACAAATGCTGGCAAGGATGTGGGGAAAAAGGGATCCTCATACACTGCTGGTAGGAATGCAAGCTAGTACAACCACTTTGGAAAACAATATGGAGTCTTCTTAAAAAACTAAACATAGATCTGCCATATGATCCAGCAATCCCACTCCTAGGGATATAACTGAAGAACTGCAACTCAGGTTATTCCAAAGGCACCTGCACATCCCATGTTTATTGCAGCTTTATTCACAATAGCCAAGTTATGGAAACAGCCAAGATGCCCCACTACCGATGAATGGATTAAGAAAATGTGGTATTTATACACAATGGAATTTTACTCAGCCACAAAGAAAAATGAAATTTTGTTATTCACATGTAAATGGATGGAACTGGAGAACATCATCTTAAGCGAAGTTAGCCAGGCTCAGAAGGCCAAAAATCATATGTTCTCCTCATATGTGAATTATAGACCTAAAACAATTGCAGTAATACTATTGGACATGGGTCACACGCTAAGGGGAGAATGCATACAGGAGGAATAGGGAAAGGGAAGGAAACCTAAAACTTGAAAGTGTTTGATGTGCTAATCAAACTGTAGAGGAGCTAAGAAAGTAATCTTAAACTGACAGAGGCTACTATGGGAAGGTGACCGGGAAGTACTGAAGAGGTCTGGTAGAGATGAACCAATGTGGGTTGTAATACACATGTACATGGAAGCAATGCTAGGAATCTCTCTGTATAGCTATCCTTATCTCAACTAGCAAAAAGCGCTGTGTCTTTCTTATTATCTCCTATGTTTTCTCTTCAACAAAATTGGAGAAGAAGAGGGCAGAACAGGTTCTGCCTGGAAGCGAGGAGTGGGGAAGGGGGGTGGGCAGGGAGGAGAAATGACCCAAACAATGTCTACACATATGAATAAACAATTTTAAAAATCTGATAATTACTAAGTTCTTATTGTATACCAAACACTAGGCTACAGTCTGTTATTTAATGCTCACATCTTCCCTATGGATTATGGACAATAAATGCCTGATTTTATTCAATGGAAGATAGAGCCCTTCCACTCCCAGTAATGACTGGTAAGGATCTGAGTCTCTGAGGCGTAAGTCCATGTACCACAGCTACATTTTGTCTGTTCCCCTCCAAATTCATTATTCATGTTAGGAATCACTCCAGAAGTCATCCACTTCAATCTCATCCTTTTAAAGATGAAGAAACTGAGGCCCAGAGAGGCTCCCTGATTCTCCCACACATGAATTATCTTCTTCAGGTCTGGAACACTTTCTTTGGGCAGTTTTTTCACCTAATTTTTAAAAATATACATAAGGATAAAATTTTTCATCTTAATCTTTTTTTGTTTAGGCTAATATTTTAATTAACTTTTTCTTTTTCATATTAGCATATATTAATTGTGTAAAATAATGGATTTCATAAGTATATGATTTACTTTGACCATAAAATCATTTCTGAGTGCACAATTTAGTAGCATTAAAGGCATACATAATATTATATAACCATCATCATCATCTATCTTCAAAACTCTTCATCTTATAAAACTGAAACTTTGTATCTGTTAAACAGTAATTCTCCTCATTTTTTCCCTCAACCATTACAAACTACCATCCAATTTCCTGTCTCTATAATTTTCAGCTCTAAGTACTTCATGTAAGTGAATCATACAGTATTTGTCTTTTTGCGACTAGCTGCTTTCACTTACCATGACGCCCTCGAGATTCAGCCATGTTGTCATATATTGCAGGACTTCTTTCTCCTTTAAGACTGAGTAGTATCCTAATGTGTGTGGACATACCACGCTTCATTTGTCTGTTCATCTGCTGTACGACACTTTGATCATTTTTACATTTTGGATATTATTATGATGCTTCTATTAAAAGAAATGTAAAATCTCTCTTCAAGCCCC